CACTACATCAAAAACTAATGATGTAATGTATGGTGACTAACATAACATAATAAAATAAAATTTTAAAAAATTCACTATAATGCTAAAAATATTATGTAAGTTAATAAGGTAATTGGCCTAAAGAGGAATAAATATAAATGCATAGAACAAAAGTGTTTAACCTTCACTCCATTTAGCTTTTTCCAGTTTTCAGGCATAGTTTAATTTGCATCTTATATATCTATATAAATACTATGCCTTTTTTTGGCACTTGGGCAAATGACTTAAATAAACTCTATGCATTAGTATCCTTGCCTATAGAATAGATATGCTAATAAAACTATTAACCTCATACTTAAGAAACACTTAGAATAGCAACTGGCACAGAGTAAATGCTATATAGATACTTGTCAAATAAAATAAATAATAAGTGTCTGTTAGATAGCTAAATTCTCAATAATTCTCTATTATAAAAGGCATGGGGGGAGCCTGTGTGGCACATTCTATTAAGTGCCCAACTCTTGGTTTTGGCTTAGATCATGATTTCAGGGTCATGAGATCGAGCCGCATGGAGTCGGGCTCCATGCTCAGCTAGGAGTTGGCTTAGAGTTTCTCTCTCCCTTACCCTCTACCTTCCCATTCTTTCTCTCTCTCTCAAATAAATAAATAATTTTAAAAAACGCCTGAGTATTGAAAGACAATGGTAGAATTAAGACATTCTGTGTCATGTAGAAAAATATCTTTGGCTTTCCAGAAATTTTTGTGTGGTTTTCTAATTGTGCCTGTATTTTCAAATAATGATTCAAAAGAAGATACAGAATTTAGGTAAGCATACTTTATTTTGCATTAATGCAGTAATTATCAGCAAGATGAAAAACATGGCATAGTATAAAGAATGTGAAATATTCTTTAAGGAAAACATATGTACTATATATAGCAATGTTCTTATATATGTTTATATAAAAAATTTTATAATGCCATTTACTTTACCCAGATAGCCAGTGTAAGATGTTGGATGTTGGTATAACAGATAAAAAAGATAGACTTTAATATGATAAGAAATAAAATATTGTCATTACCATTATATATTTCCTTGACTAATAACTTTGCTTGTCCTTTCACTTTATGGAGTACCCTAAGGTATATTTCTTATCAGATTATATAAACCATGACTTTGGACAATAAACTAAATTCAGAAAATCTGAAAAAAAATAAAATAAATCAGGAAGAAAAAAATAAAATCTTTTAATTTTAGGTATGTCTATAAATTTACTTGACATCAACACTCTTGAAATATAGGGTGGCTTTACTGGAAAAGGTAAAATATATTACATTATTAGTAAGCCAATAGGTGCCATTAAAGTATAAATAACAGTATTACTGTTATTATTATTAGTCAGTGCTACACAATGATAATGGCATGGTTGTCTGAGAATCCTAAGATATTCATATTTGATTCTTATTATATATTTTCTCCAAAGTTTGTAAGCTACACCATGTAGGAGCAAATTTCATAAGTAAAATGGGTGGGTGTTTTCGACAAAGTTTAGGTAGAGAAATATTAGAGGTAGAAAAAAAAGGAGAAGACTATTTAGTATTTAGATGGTAATATAATCATATGAGTAAGAAGGGGCAGGAAAATTGGGTTAAAGTAGTGATCTTGATGGCATTACCCATATAGGAATAAAACATTATTTTACACACACTAAGACATTTTAAAAGACAAATTAGGTAGTGAACTAAGGCATTTTCAAAGGCAATAATCTACCCTCTAGAATAAATCTTAATAAAATAGATTCAGGGAAAGTTCTCTCTTTCAGGAAGCTAATGACCAAAAACATCCCTATGAACATAGAATACAAGGGATTAAAGCTAAACCGAAAAGGATTAAAGTATCTCAAAGCCCAACACGTTGTCTTCAAAATTTAAGAGAAATAACTGAGCTTTGTAGGATATTCTGTTAATAAAATGGACCATTTGAAAAGTAAAGAAGTTCAAGAAAACAAACCTTCAAACCCAACAACCATTGTTATCCCATCAAAGTACAAATCTAAAGGCATCACATGGGTTCTGATGCCATTCACTAGACTGAGATAGGTGTTTTTTAAATATATTCTTATCCACTATTGAGTGAGCTATGACCAGTCTCACTCCAATGAAGAATTTAGTTATCTGTTAATCTCCTCTCCCTCTTCTATGCTGCTCCTTCACATAAAACAAGCCACAAACCCCAAACAAATCTAGTTTACCTTCAATTATTTAGGTGAACAGAGTTGAGTATGATTCATCAAAATAAAACAGACCACTCTCCTGACCTCTAATCCTAACTGTCTGCTAGGATGTCCCCTACTCGGCTTTAAACAGATGTGCCAAACTCTGTGTCCAAACTAAATTCATCTAACTGGAATTTACCATCAATAAGCCCTATTGTCCCTGAACCCCCCCCCCATCTCAGTTGGTATCACTTAACTGATTCCATGTCATACTTTCCCTTCCCTCCACTGTGCGACCCCAAAGCATCCAGGCAGAAGAACATCTAAGCAGTATCTGCTTCTACTTTACCCCCTAAATAGTTCTCAGGTTAGCAGTCTTGCAAGTACCTGTTTATCACAAAACAACCAACAAATGTACACAAAGAACAACTATTGAAAAGAATCCTTCTATTGTCTCCCCTTCCCTGCCCAGTATTTCCCTTCAGGACATCTCACAGTGTGTTAAAAAGAAAACCAAAGACCCAAAATGGTGTCATTTAGGCCAAGTTCTCAAATCTGGGCTCAATACCTAGTTTAACTGCAGTTTCAGTCTCCCCCAGAAATGCAGTCTTAATCAGTCAGGAATATTCTGATAGGCTCCAATGAGTCTGGCAGGGGCGCTCTCCAGCCCTCAAAGGTAGAGGGAGTAATTTGCATGATAAGATCCCCTCCACTTCACCTCAGGGAAAGCAAAATTGTCTGTAACAATCCTTTGCTTTTGCTAATCGCTTTCTTGCCCCACCCTCTTTCCAGTAAAAATCTTCCATTCTGTACAACTCCTTAGAGTTCCCCTCTACTTGTAGATGGGATGCTGCCGATTTGTGAATCCTTTAATAAAGCCAATTTGATCTTCAAATTCACTCATTTGAATTTTGTGTTTTAACACGTGTCACTTGGCTTGAGGCCCTGCTTTTGGTTGTTTATATTATCACAGGTTTATACTATGGAAAATGACTTGGCCTCCATAATAACCATGCCTATCTTCAGTGCACTTCTTCCTTGATTGTGACCCTTAATTACTCTGAGGCCAGTTGTTTTCCTTCCAAGGTTTTCTAAAACCAACTTACACTTCTGCGATCAAAAATATGTTATAACTCAATAATATTATACTATAAGATCCTATCATCTTATAAGCAGTGGTTAATATTAAACTGACCCTTCTGCTCTTTCACCATCCCTGGATTTTGATTCTGCTCTTTTATTTCTAAAGCTGTATAGGGTTTATTTTCGTTTTTATTTCTCTTTTGAATAGACAAATAGAGCTCCCTTTTCTGCCAGTTTTATTGAGATATAATTGACATATAACGTATTAATTTAAGATGTAAAACATAATGATTTGATACATATATGTGTATATGCCTATATACTAGGCAATGCAATATATATATATATATGTTGCAAAGTGATCACCACAAAAAGTATAGTTAACATCCACCAGCCCACATAGTTACAAAAATATAAGGAATACTTCACACGTTTGCATGTCATCCTTGTGCAGGGACCATGCTAATCTCTGCATAGTTCCAATTTTACTACGTGTTTCTCCCAAAGTGAGCACTAGAGCTCCTCTTTTTTAATCCCAATGAAAAACACTTAAACTTTCTGGCATTTTCCTTGTCTGGGTTACTACAAATTATAGCACAAATTACAATTTACCTCATCTACTTTAATTCCTTTCCAGTCTGTTCTTTGGAACAGCCAGCAACAAGTCCAATCCATGCTTAGTTTTCTCATAGCCTCAAGAGTAAGTCAAACCTACCAAGATAATCACAACAAGCTGGTCACCATGCAGCCACTCCCTGGCCCTTCAGCAACACTCTTTAACTCTCCTAACTCCTATACAAAATCCCAGACTGCTCTTGCCACCTGGAATCACTTGCAGTTCCCCAAATAAGACAATTCATTCTCCTCCACGCCTTTACATAGGTAGCCTTCTCTTACTCAGTATGCATTCTGACCTCCTTCCTCTCTGCCTGGCCATTTCAGCTAGTCTTTCAAGATGCAAATCACTTTGTAACATTCTCAAATATCCACCTTCATCCGTCCAAGTCAGCCCTCCCAGCTGGGTCCAGCGTCTCATCCAAGGACTTATGCTTCCATTTATCATGTGATTGCATTGTACCATCTGCTTATTTGTTTGTCTTCAGCAGTATAACCAAAGCTCCCTAAAAGCGGGGACCATATCCTAACCATCTTTGTATCACAAACATCCAGTAGTGACTGATACTAATGAAATCTAGGAAAAACATTTAACTGAGAATAACAATATTCGAGTATATGCTGTTCTATAATGTTACCATAGCTACATTGAATTGTGTTGGAAGTAGAAAAGGCAGTACCTTCCCTTGAACTACAAAGAAAACCAGGATCTCTCATTAAGGTTCAGGGTATTTCCACTGTGAAATATGAACTTTAATTTTAATAAAATGGAACAGATGTCCTTAGCAGTTTGATCAACTATTCTCTCATTGATATCTGTATAGCAGATGGTATAAATAACTCATCATGTATTTAAATGCTGATTTTAAAACTGAAATAATATAAAATATTTCAAGTTTATTAGGTATGCTTTCCTTCATGAGTGCCTTATCAGGGGATTAGCATCCCTGCTAATTTTCAGACATACGTTCATATAGTTTTCTCCTCACTTGTTTTCTCCTGGGAGGAAGGCAAATGTCCTTTCACAATGATATACTTCTGCTTTTCTGGACTCAAAGTGCTGAGAGTTAAATTTGAAACACCACTCTAATAGCGCAAATATCATCATTTACATATTTTCGTCAGGAACCAAAGATGGAACACATACCCAATATACATCAACTGACAACAACCTAACAGAAGTTGCGTTGGTTGCCTTAGATGAGGATGACACATCTAACATTGACATTGGAGGTAACAAATGTGGTCCGTGATCACATGTGGAAATGTGACCAGCCTAGTGAAAACAGTTCTTAGAGGTCTTATGATGGGAGCCTGCATGGCCCATATATAAATGTGCAGTAGTATTTATATGGTGTTCTTATTTAGCCTCCCATCATTCTTGTGTATACAAAAACAAAACAACGAAAAACACGATTTTTGCTTTCTGAAATATAATCAATCGAATATGATTATTCTCAATATACTCCAATGTTCTCTTTAGGATAGAGAATAAAAGTGGTGGAAGTTTCTCCATATTAGAATAAGTAATGAATCCTTGGTGAGTGGGGGACACTGAGTCATCTTTTTCTTACTATGCCTCACCACCCCCAACTCATTAAAAAGGGTAATGGCAATGCAAAACCCTGTGTTGCCAAATTTTAGAATTTCCTGGGCTTCCCAGAATCCTTCCCCAGGTAGGGACCAAATAAGAGAGAACACATTTAAATATAATAAAGTTTGAGTGTGCTTTGCCAACAACCCTGAGCTAGTCAACATTGCATAGGACTCAAAACTCAGTAGGTAATGAGAACATCCAAATGTGGTTTTCTCTTAGTGCAGTGTCAGGCATTAAATATTAGCAAATTGACTATTTCTGATGGATGGCTTGAGGTATTAAGTGGCTACTCATAATTTAGTATTAAACAAATTGCCACTAATAACTAACTTTTCTGACTATCTTAATGTAAACGTTTCTGCAATATATTATTATCTGGAAAAATCACACAGTAGTTATCAGAGGAGCCATTTTTTAAATCAGTATTTGGCACTAAGTTAGGTCAAGGTCAGAGTTAAGGACAGAATCTATAGTTTGTGTTTACTAGGTCTTGTAGTATTTGACCTTTAAACTGCTGTTTCGTCATGTCATAGCTATTGCAGAGAAAGTGATCATGTTATATCCAATTTCGTTGCTAAAATATATACAAGGTCATTGCCTCCAGCAGGTGACTGGAAAGAATAATGTAATCTTAATCGTGACACCCAAAATAAAACTAAGAATTTTTCTCAAGTCCTTTTGAATGTACTCAAAATGTAAATAAATGAAACAATAGGTTACCCATAGTCAGCTAGGATCGATTTAATATGGCCAAGCAGACAAAAGCAGTTTCCTTAAATAAGAGCTACCCAGGGTCTCATTAGTGCAGAGAAAAAAAAAATCAAGGTCATGCTAAGGTGTATGACTTCATGGTGGAAAATTTCAATCCTCCAAACACCTCCCAGAAAAGAAACCAAAAGCAAGAGGAACAACAACAAATCTGTCAGGCAGATTTCAAAATCTCATTTAGACCACTGGACAAATACTAAGGAAAAAAGTAGAAGTTCTAAATATACTGAGGTATATATTTTTACAAAGTAAGGTTGACAAGGTTGGAGACAGGCATGGAATGTCTCTTATTAGAATGGCATATAGAATTATCACCACACGAGTTTACATATGGGAAAGTGGGGGCCCCAAAATTCTGAAGCATTTTTCTAAGAATTACACCTTAGAAAAAAAAAAGGGTCTGAGAATTGATTTTATGAATAAATAAAATCACATTTTTCATTTATCTTTTAATCCTGTCTTGCCATATTTAGAATGATCAAGGAAAAAGTGACTATAATATACTCTGCTAAAATACAAGCAATATAAGGTGAGAAAACATATTCATCAAATGATATTTATTCAACAATATATGTAAACATAAAGATTAAACAATACGTGTTTCTACCTATTTTAATATATCGTTAAATTTATATGTATAATATTTATGTGTATATAAAATGAGGGCAATCACCTATCACAGAGTTTGAGCTAAAAAATAATGCTGATAGCATTAATGGACTTCTAATCTACTTAATATTGTTTTGCAAGCAGCTTTCAAAACCAAGCAATCTGATCTTTTCTAAATGGCATTATAGTAGGAAAAAGGTCATTATGTTTAGGCTGGCAAGCCCATGAGGAAAATAATAGTAAGTTTCCAGTTAGACTCTGATGCTGATTAAATCAATATAACTGTCAACAGCTGGGTCCTGAGATTAACACAGATGTGGGAACAGAAAGCAAACACAACTGTGGAAATGGAAGCAAATACTATGCTTATGGACAAAAGCCATCTGGGAATTGCTTCTTTGAGCAGGAGTTATAAATCGAGGCAGTTTGCCTGTAGAAAGCTAATACCTTTCTGTACAAGCACTTTATTATAATTTGGAGATTTATACCTAATTCTCTATGCCACTGACATAATCCAACCCAGGAGTATTACCAAAGCACAAACTGCACATTTACATTGGGGTGACTTATCTTCATCACAGAATATTAGAAAGTGAATAGTGCGTGTTCTCCTTTTCATATACATCCTTTTGTATCGAGAAACATTAATGATGAAGAATTTATGTTTTTGACAGGTATCCTCTCCAACACTTACAGGAATTTAGGATGAATATCATATTGTGTCAGACTGGGCTTGCTTAAAAGTACCAAATATTATGTGCCTTGTTTTGGGGAGCTGATAGTGGGACACACTGCGACACTATACAAGCTTCCTTTGTTGAACAAACTTAAAGGACTATAAGCTATTATTTCATATCCTGAAAGAACCAAGGCATAGGTGCTAGGATGGGAGAGTTTCGTGGAAACACTGGAACAGTTTGCCAAGGGGATGTTGTTTATCCACTACTTGCAAGTAGTTAATGAGAGGTACTTTGGATGCAGGGAATTAGTATCTTATGAGAGAGGCTGATACATTCAAACCATGGGGAATGAGAGGAAGAAGTGAACATCAGAATGCTAATCAGGAGCCCAAAGGAGTGCGGGGAACTAGGATGTTGGAGCAATAAAGTACCAGAAGTCCCCTAAGATATTTGAGTAAGTGAGCAAGTGTTTCTATTGGAGGCCTCAGAATAAGCTATCATACTAGAAATCTTTCCCTCCATGTCTGTCCTTCACCCCTCTCTACCCCACTCTTTACCCGGGAAACTGACCCCTATAGATTACAGTTAACAGGATCCCGTGCCTCTGACTTCCAGTTGGATTCAGTCATCTGACATAGATGCAAGGGAAGAAGGAGAATGTAGTCAGTATTTTGAGCTTCCCCTTTGAAGAGAGTGAGTTGGCTATGTTTTCTGTTAAAGGGAATTACTCCTTTCAATGCAGCCCCATCTTTAAGAGACCCCCTTTTCTGACTTTCGGTGTTGGTAACCGTTCTGTGATAACTATCCCTGGGCACCCTGCTATCCTCTGTGGTCACGAATATCTCACTCACAACCTGGTGAATAATCCTTTTTTGATTTTTTTAATTATTAAATTAATTAATAATTAAATTATTAAAACATTTATTCAAGTATAATATACAATGTTATGTTAGTTTCAGGCATACAATATAATGATTCCACAACTCTATGCATTATTCAGTGCTCATCATGATAAGTGTACTCTTTATCTCCTTCACCTACTCCCCCCATCCCCCCATTCACCTCCCCTCTTGCAGCTATCAGTTTGTTCTCTGTATTTAAGAGTCTATTTTGTTTTGTTTCTTAAATTCTGCATATGAGTGAAATCATTTGTCTTTCTCTAACTGACTTATTTCACTTAGCATTATATCCTCTAGATCCATCCATGTTGTTGCAAATGGCAAAATTTCATCCTTTTTTTATAAC